TAGGGCTTAGTTACTCTCGGCCTCTCGGGCACAGTCATCCGGACGAGGCAAATGGCTTTGTTGAAGATGCAGGAGGTCATCTCGGGGTTGTCAGTGGTGGAAGCCTGTTAAGTCAGGTCAACAGGTTGCATGCGAGTGGTTATTCGGCAGGACCTCTCGATGGCTTTCAAGCCATTCCGACAACTGCTGACGCCTCCGCAATCGCCATTGACGACCAAGAAGGTGGATATCCACTTGAAGGGACTGGCTCCTTGCTGAGCCAGCAGACTGGTAGCTGGGCTTCATACTCCGGAAAGCCATCCCATGAAAGACCTGGGTTGTGGGAGTCAGACAGCAGGCAAACCCCACGAAGATCTGGGCCGCACAACGACCCATCAATGAATGGTTTATACTCTTATGGTTGAGTGAATCTGGAAAGATCAGGATCCGGGCATCCGCCTCTCTTGGGATAGTACAATCAGAATATTGGTTAACTTCTTTCTGATCTGTCTGATAGTCAGTATGTAACTATTGTCTTAACGGTAGCCGGGGCCTCATAAAGCTCTGGGTTACCAACAATAAAGCATAAGGATATCGATTACTTTCATTAACTCTTTTTCATTTTCCTTATTTCCCCAGTATTTTCACCGCCCTTTGGTATTACCTTCTATTCATTTGAAATATATACTGATATCTTATGCGTTGTACATTAAATGACTATATATGAGTAAAGACACTCCTCGAATTCTACCGGGCAAAGTAAATTTATCTTTCGCTATTAAAGTCTTGATATTTTACCTTTTATTATGAACGTAAAGCTTGGTGTTATAGATAAAGTAGCTTTATTGGAAACCAAAAGAAAATTGCTTTGATGAGGTAACCGTTGCATTTTGCTTAGAAATCCCTTAAACATCGTCCTGTTTTCTTTATTATCCGTGCTCTGTTTTCGTCTATCATGAGAATTTGTCAGAACTATACATCATTCTATTTTACAATTGACCGGGCAGTAAGCCAAGGGCGATAGATAGCTGTATCCTGCAAGCATTTTATAATCTAGTTCATGCTTACTCTGCATGCTAGATGAGTAAGTTTAAGTCTCCGTAACCTCTAAAACCCCATGCTTTAGACAATTATATTTTATGTCCTTGATTAACCATATGTTCAGCCAGTGCGA